CACACACACACACCTCCTCCCAGCCCGCCCCACCCTGCTCCCCTTCCAGCAGCCACGCTGAGGCCCAGTATTTTTTTCCCATAGTTTGGGAAACTCTGTACTATTGCAAAGTGTTGTGACTAAATGAGGGAGTATAACTGGTTTCTCATTTTTCTGCAGGTCCCAGTGGTAGCAGTTTTGGGATCTGGTGGTGGGGTTAGAGCACTAACACACCTCCTCCCAGCCCGCCCCACCCTGCTCCCCTTCCAGCAGCCACGCTGAGGCCCAGTATTTTTTTCCCATAGTTTGGGAAACTCTGTACTATTGCAAAGTGTTGTGACTAAATGAGGGAGTATAACTGGTTTCTCATTTTTCTGCAGGTCCCAGTGGTAGCAGTTTTGGGATCTGGTGGTGGGGTTAGAGCACTAACATCATTCTATGGCAGCCTGTCAGGGCTTCAGCAACTCAGTCTTCTGGACAGCACAACGTATCTCTGTGGAATTTCAGGTTCTACTTGGTGAGTAATATGCAATGGTGGTCCCTGAAACTTCTAGTTGGATAGTTTTGTGTAGCTCCAAGGGAGATGCTAGATTGAATGCACATAATCTTTAAAAAATAGTAGGTCTTGTATGTTGCTATTGTCTATCAGATGTTGACAGTCATAATATTTTCGGTGGTTAAAAAGAATTTCGTTGCTGTATTTAAAACCTACCGCAGTATGTCTAGTAGAAGATATGTAAATGCGTTACAGAAAGAAAGCACTTGGGGGAAGATTTTCAAAAGTACAGACAGGAAATAGATGATTGGCTCCCACTGAGGGTTTATGAGAGTTGAACGTTTAACTGCCATTTGTGCTTTCAAAGTTCACCCCTTTTATGGAAAGGTTATGGAAAATAATTTAATATGTGTACTTGTTCTAGCTTGTAGAGTTGCATAGGAAGGCTTGTGAGTCAGATTCACTGCTGGGGAGAAGAGGAAGCCAGTTACCTTGGCTCTGTTTGGAGCCTCATACCTGGCTCTCAGGACTGGTGTGAGGATGAGTTAATGTTTGTAAACTAAATCATATTAGCTAATCTGCACTCAGAACAACCCTGATTGGCATGTTAGCAGACAGCATGACGACATGAGGTTGGTCTCAGGTTCCCCAGCATATTTTAGAACTTAAAATTACATCTCGTAACATTTGTTATCTTTGGTACTTAATCTTCTAAATTGTCAAGAGTTCTATAGTTCTCACACAGTTCTCAGTTCAATAGTAACAATACTTAGCTGGAATTTTATGTTTAATATCGTTCACTGATAATCTTGATGTAAATGTTTTTCAGGTGTTTGTCTGCATTGTATAAAGACACAAATTGGTCTCATAAGGACCTTCAAGGTGCAATCAGCAATGCCCGGGATTATGTATCTAGTAGGAAAGCAGGAGCATTTTCCTCAGAACAATTGAAATATTACTTCCAGGAGCTGAACTCAATGGAGAATGACGGACGGAAAGTCTCTTTCACAGACTTGTGGGGCCTTATAATAGAGTATATTCTACACCAGAAGGTAAAGAATTCCAGACTCTGAAGTGTATTGCTGTTTGCCTAGAAATTAGGAGCTTAACATAGCCACCTTTTTTGTGTCTCTGGAAAATGATTTCTCTTTGAGTATGTGTAGATTGTCTAGAATTCTTCTGGGGATTAGAGGAATCTTGGGACAAACATGGGTTTTTTTTTGCCTCCATTTTCCTACCTATAAAATGAAGATAAAGACATGTAATGTATAAAGTACTTTGAGCTCTATAGATTAAAAAGTGCTAGGTAGGAGCTTGATATGTATTTGAATTTACTTTGCAAACCATTTATTTGATCACCATTTGGAATGTTAAGGGTCAGAAAATATGGTGACAAATATCTAGCAAGGTGGTTTTCCAACAACAATTCAATGTAATACCGTTAGGTGAAATTACAAATTGGAATCTGATGAAAACAGCAATTACTTTGAATTTTACAGGCATTCTTCACTAATTATATAGGGCATATAAATATTGTAGTAAAATATAATGAGCCCTACTCTTGGGGGGGAAGCATTTAAGAGCCTGTGATATGGCTAAAGCCAAGACTGAGAAGTGAGAGAGCTCCAGAATATATATATATATATATGAGGGAGAGGGGGAGGGGGAGGGGGAGGGAGGAATTAATTGGCTTT